TTTTGTGTACTCTATTGTATTAAACTGTCGAAGTCAAATAAAACAGGGCATGAATAAATCGTTTTGTACTTGGTACAAGTCTGGTCATTTTCGAACTAGTTCAGTTTCAGTCAGGAAATTCTAGTTGTAAACTAGTATTGTTCCTGACTAGTTAGGGGTTTCACTGCAGGGATTTAGTCTGAAATAAGTCTAAGTGTATTGGATTTCTATGGACCAATTATACTCCCCATTTTAAAATTGCCAACAACTAACCGGATCATCGTTGTCGCAAGAACTTCTTCACGGACATGACGCTTTCGTTAGGTTATCTAAGACAGCAATGGAGGATATGCCTTCTGACGACCACCAAACCAAAAGTGAACGTGAATTGTTGGTGAAAACGTTGGACCAAATGTTTCAATAAAAAAAAAAATTGGGCGGGACGACGTTCGTCGGGTTTGCTCGTTATAATTATAATAAATACAATAAAAAAAAAACTTTTAATATACAACGCTTTTATAAATGGACTAAAAAGTATAAAATAATATTTCTCAGTCCCACAGAATTTGTTTTGATAACTTTTGATTTTGAAATCTTATAAACAATTAATGACATTGAAAACGAAAAACGTGGAGCGCATGCAGTACAAAGCATTCGATTTCATTGACAATAGTCAAACTACATAACATTCTACAGCGAAAGTACAAATTTCAGATCGATTTTAAGCGGTCGTTATTCATATGCCCACATACATACATATGTTACTTTTCATACCAATTCAAGTGTATTACAAGCGCCCCACGCTTTTCATTTTCAATGTCATTAATTGTTTATAATGACTTTAGCTAAAATTTAAAAATCAAAAGTTGTCTGTGGTCTGGACATACAAGACTGCAAGTTGATAAAAGCGTTGTAAAAAAAAATAATCTCAGATTAAACCGATAACTTTTTGGTGTCCAACCTAGATTTATCGATTATACTTGCGAAGAAGAGGAGGAATGCCAAATGTAGAAGTAAACAAAAATGGACGCTAGCATTTTTAATAAAATATTAAGTTAAAATATATTATAATATATTAAGCAAAATCTTTATTTGTCACCGAGAAGTCGTCTGTTGAATTTACTGAGTTTAGTTTTCTGCGGCTATGCACGTCATACAGATGCATCGGATTAAGGGTGCTAAATTCAACAGACGACTTCTCGGTGACAAATAATGAGTTTTTAAAGCTTTAAAATGAATTTTGGAGGGGAGGAGTAGTAGTTTTAGATAACGAGCTGATCTTTCCGAAAAAGTTTTTATCATCGTGTTACATGAGCCCGAATGTGCCCAAAAACCGTGATTTTTGTACTTTTAGGTTAGAATATCTCGAAAACCTGACGTGATTGGGCTATTCTGATTTCTATCAGACTTGAATTCAGCGCACCAAAAACCTTCGGGAAAGTATAGTCTGCTTTTTGGGTAAAAATTTTGTCGGCCTGTGTTACATTTTATATTCGGGAAGAGATTTTGTGAACTTTTTAAGCACCTATTATAGTAAAATACATTAAAGAATTGTCTAAATAAAAACCTGTATATATTTTCATCCAAGGCAGGATCAAACAGTATTAAAAATGTGCTACAGAAGCACAACAGCTTAGCTAAGTAGCAACGACATGCTAAAACAGTATGTTTGAGATGGAATGACAGGCATAACACCTTGCTTGAGTTGACATGACATAGCAATGCATGCAATTTTTGAAAAAAGATTATTATTTTATATCCCATTAAATTCTTGTATAACAAAGTGCAAATTGGAAGTGGCTTAAATTGGTACTGATTTTTTTTATAACTTTTTTGCTGACGTTGTCACACGTTTTTTTCCAAACAAAAACAAATTTTCAAAAAAAATTAGGACGAATTTAAGCCACTTCCAATTTGCACTTTGTTATACAAGAATTTAATGGGATATAAAATTGCATATATATTTAACATTTTTCTAAAAATTTTGATTGAAAAATTTCATGTTATCAAAATGTTTTGATTTTTTTTTTAATTTTTCTATAAAGTTGGAAATGTGGATTTTCATATACAGTGTTTGCTATTTAATGAGCTAGACTTATATACAAAAATAGCAAACATTAAACAAACAAACAAAATTTCCAAAACTGGCGAAAATGTGTATGTACAGGGGTGTATGTACATATTAAAAAATTTTGTTTTACGTTTTTCCAGCAAAAGGTTCTTGAATTATTTAAAATTCGTCAACTTACAAATTAAATTATTAGCTTTTTGTAAATTGTTAATATTCTTTTTTTACCACGTGTGGAAGTGGGATAGTGCTTATAAAAAAATCGCACCAAAAATTTCATAGTTTGTGAAATCTGTTTTGAATATAGTATATTGAAAGCAAAGTAAAAATTAATAATTTGTTGTACGTTTGCTAAAATGTTGGCGTCATCACTAGTTGCAACCAGAGACCATAAATAACTCTTATGATTTCTTTTGGAGGTGGAAAACGTTGGCCGTAGGACAGTAAAAAATTTGTATGTTACTTTATAAGAGTTATTCCCAAAGCTAAATTTTTTTCGTTGGTCATAACTTTTATTTTCGACTTTTTTGTTTTTACGTCGCTCAGTGACAGTTATTTTCAAGACAAACTGTTTTCCTTTGCTCATAATTTTTATTTTCGACGTTTTTGTTTTTACGTTGCCTGGTATGAGTTATTCCTAAGACAAAATTTTTTCCGTTGCCCACAATTTTTACTTTCAACTTTTTTCTTTTAACGTTGCATGATAACAGCTATTATCAATGAAATTTTTTTTTCGTTGCTCGTAACTTATATTTTCGACTTTTGTTTCTTCACGTTGCTTAGTAAGAGTTATTCTCAATGAAAAATTTTTTTCGTTGCTCGTAACTTTTATTTTGAAGTTTTTTGGTTATGCGTTGTAGTAGTGCTAGATGCACTAATTGCAATAGCAACTACCACTTCTCAACTTGGGCCAAAATATCCGACAACACCTTCGCAACTATGAACGCCGAGCGTCGTCGCAATTGGAGATGCCATAAATGTCGTCCACCAACGAGAGCAACACAGACAACGATCCAAACTGAGTCAGCGACCCAACAGCATCCCACGAAATAATCGCAAAGAGAACTAGTAGAAGAAGAAAATGAAAACACGCAACCATATAAGCACCGGGAATTGATCTCTATTAAGTCTCTTAAGTCTGAAGGCCGTAATGTGCAATCTAATGTAAACGATTTAAAAACTAGCACAGATGAAATTAAAAGAATCATCAGAAGCATGACTTTGCAATTCACGCGTTCTCAAGAAGAGATTAAAAAGGAAATATCTCTTACAACGACTAAACTTACCAACATCGTAACTGAACTAACAACAAAAGTTAATGACCTCAACGAAAGCTGCAGAGTGAAAGATCGCCGCATCGCTGCAATGGAACGCAAAGTTAGTATGTTGGAGCAACAATCACTAGAGAAGAATATAGTGATAAGGAACGTTGAAAAGCGCGAAGACGAGAATTTGAGAGACATAGTGCGACGCATTGCCAAAACAGTGCAGTTTAACGTAAGCGAAAGCGACATTGTTGATAGCTTCCGAACGAAGGCAAAAAGCGGAGACATAATCATTAAGTTCTCTTCAATCTGCACTAAACTAGAGCTAATGCAAAAACTTAGAGGCAAAACTGTAGGTACAAACCAAGAATGATAGAATACAAGATTGCGCCAATCAAGCTGAGAGCAACTGGCCGTGACGTCAAAATATACCAGAATGAGAGAGCAAGACGAAACCGACAAGAAAAAGAAGAAGCGTCGAACAAAAGTTCGCCAAGTTTTGAATTTGAAAAAGCACCAAATTTTTATTGATGAATTTTATGGACTTTATATAAATACATAATTTTATTGTAAGGATGCCGATTCAAATTAATAAAAATCAATGTTTCTTGCACAACGGTCGATTTCTCCTGGCATGATTGAAGGTGCTGCACATATTTCGTTGTCCCTTATGATTGTCACTGTGCCATGATTTTGTTTAAATTTTTGTAAAATTGCTTAGCACACCTACGATTGCTATAAATTTTGCTTCCATTTTTTTAAGATTTTCTAATTTGAAGCCTTCAAACTAAAAAAAAGCACCAGAAACGCACCAAGCACAAAACTCAAAAATGTTCGCGTTTTGAATACCCACTAAATTTGGTGCGAAAAGCATCAATTTGGCAACAGTGGATGTAGATAAAAGTATATTATGACGTCAGCGATTGGTGGATGCTGTCAAATCGACGAAGAGAGGGTTAGCGGTCCGCGAATGGCGCGACCTTTATTTTCTGGATCGTGGGTGCAAACGACATTTATGACAAGGGCAAAGAGAACAACACAAAAAATGAAAGAATCTACGTCAACCACCAACTGGCCTCGATAAACCGACACTTATTATGGATGGCAAAAGCTAGAGCAAAGGAATGCGGGTGGAACTATGTATAGGTTAAGCAGGGAAAAATATTAGCAAAACAAAGAGAAAGCAGTAATTTTGTATACATTTACTCCGAAGCAGATATCGAAAATATTAAGTAAACAACATAATAACTAATATATTGCATAATTAACTTTTTGATATCTATATACCTACATATTTACTTATTTGTTATACTTTTTATAAAATACTTAGCGTAACTAACATAAATCATGAATAATATCATTACTCTAAATCAATGGTGCAAAGTCTAGGTTCAGACGGAGAAACTTTTGTTGCCGCAACTCGTTACTTTTGGGAGAGGGAGCGACGAGGAAGGGGGAAGGGCACCGAGTTTCTCGTGCTCGGGCAACACGCTTTGTGTTCTTATTCGTCTCAGTTCGCTGCTAACAAATTTGACATTCCTTTTCATTTACAAATTCTTTCAGTGTTTGCAGTTTTGTTGAGATTTATATGAACACATACGGTAAGTTGTGAAATTGTAATTTGGTTCTTAATTTTTTGTACTTAAATATTCACATGTATGTTTATATATGCATATACATGTATATATATATATGAACATTTCAGAATATGGAGTACCAAGATAAAATTGAATTAATGGAAGATATTTTTAAGTGCATCGAGGAAGCCGTCGAGATTGATTCGGATGATAGCGAAAGGGAGGACATATGTAAAGGTTTGTACTGAGATTGTAGATTGGAAATTGAATACTAAATTAAAGGTATTTTTTTAAACTCCAGGACTAATCGATATGTGTGAAAAAGTGGCAAAGATGCCTATAAGGAAAAAAAATCGTGAATGGACAAAGGTGTGGAGGGAACCGAAGTCGGAAAAAGGATCATTCGCATTCTTAACAAAAGAGCTGTTGATATCGGACAAAGCTAGCTATAAAAATTATTTGCGAATGACTGAGACCCAATTTAATTTCCTGCTTTCATTCATTAAGGAAGATTTAAGAAAGCAAGATACCATAATGCGGTCCGCTATTTCTTCAGCTGAAAAACTGTCTTTGACACTGCGGTTTCTTGCTACAGGTAAACTTCAATACAAACTTATATATGCAATGAAATATGTAAAAAATTTGTATCATTAAAACTTGCGTGGCCAAGAATGGAATGAGGCTAAAAGCACTTACTTTTACAGGGGAAACTTTTCAGAGCTTGAATTTTCATTCCAAAATATCAAAGGCTGCTATTAGTGGCATAATTCCGGATATATGGGACGCTATTTGGGATAGACTGAAAGGCATATATTTGAAGGTAAACATTTTTAGTTCGTACTTTTCATGAACTTATACGAAATTCTACTTTTTAGTTTCCAAACAGCTCTTCGGAGTGGGAGTCCATAGCAAACGAATTTGCTATACGATGGCAATTTCCAAATTGTTAAGGCGCATTAGATGGGAAACATATAACCTTCAGGTCGTTGCGAAAAGATGGAGCATTTTACCACAACTATAAAGGTACAAACAGCATCGTTTTATTGGCACTTGTAGATGCAAATTGCAAGTTCATTTTTATCGACATTGGTTGTAATGGACGCAATAATGATGCGGGAGTTTTTTTTGCAAAGTAAACTTTCCATGGTTTTACGTGAAGAGAGGGGATTGCCAAAAAATTCCACAATTGGAAATAACCGCTGCCTGCTATATGTTATTGTTAGCGATGATGCTTTCCCGATGCAGACCCACATAATGAAGCCGTACCCCTATCATTCCAACTCTCGCGAAAAGCAAGTCTTCAACTCACGGCTTTCTCGCGCCAGGAACAGGTTCCGAGTTTTTCTTGCTCCAATTAATTTAAAAGTTGAATCGGTGCAAAAAATTACCCTAGCTTGCTGTGTTTTCCACAATTATTTAGCAGTAACCAACAATACAAGAAACGTAAACTACTCTCCAGCCGAAGGGTCTGCTATTGTTTCAGGCATTTCCTACAATCCCCGTAGAGGTGGGGCGGAAGCTATCCGTCAAGAATTTATGGCGTATTTCAACAACGAGGGGAAAAGAGACTGGTGATATAAATAAATAAATCTCTTTTTAGGCAAAAGCCAAAATGTATTTATTTTCAAAATATTAAATAAAAATAGCACATAATTCATTGCGTTGCAGCACAACAAAAATACCTTCTTTCATTTAGATATATGTGTGAATGTAGATACAGTCAATATAAAAAGTTAAGGTTCACGGGTTTTCGTTTTTTCAATTTTAAAACCAAACTTTGTACTTCAATGGTTTCATTAAAGA